TGAATAAATTTTGGTCCCTGCCTTCAAAAACCAGTCTACACTTCCACTTCCCCAGGAAAAAAGAAGCAGAGATGTTGATGTAGCTACTTGTGTATTAATTATATAAAGCAAAATATTTTGAAAACTCTAAACATCGAAGACTAATTAGATAAACCATAAAACCTTTTTTATTGCTCAATACTGTATTTCCAATGACCCCACAATGCTATGCACATCTTGTGTATTTAAAATGTATCAAGCAAAAGTTGAATGGTGAGAAATAAATTATTTAAAAAGAAAAAAAAAGCTAGTAAGAAAAACAGACCACAAGGAAATGATCATAGCCGTGTGTGTGGTAGGCCGTCGAACTGTGGACTTAGAATTTTGTTGTGAGATGATCTTAGGATAAGTAAAAGTGACATGATGATGTAAACACCGTGATAACTGGAGCAGCGGCTCCCCACTCCTGAGGGAGAGGTGTGGACAGCTTCAGAGGAGTTAACCTTGAAGCTTGGTATTTGAAGAAAAGGCATTTGGGGAGTGAAAGGATGAGGGAAAGGAGAGAAGTGGGAGGATACGATACTCAAAATAGATGAGGGTGTGTAAATATGAAGGCACGAAAAAAATAGGTTAAGTGTCACAATAGCAGGAGAACCCAACAGGACGGGAACCCTTGACCGGAAGTAGCAAGTAGCAGAGCCTGCTGGAAGTGCTCCTCTGTGCAGTGCAAGTGTACGTGCATTATCTTGGACAGAGGGGGGCGCTACTGAGCACATAAAGCAGAAGCAGCGTCATTCCCTTTGCCATGTTCGTTGGCCATTTGTGGGCAATGCAGAGCCCTCGGATTCAATGTGCAATCCAGGAGAAAATTTAAGGAAAACAAAACAGTCCTATTAGCAACAGGAAAAAATACAGTATGCAATTTGTAAGTCACCAAGCAGCTTCCCCTCAAAGTGTTCAGTAGAATACTTGCTGATGAATTTTAGAACTTGCCCATCTCATAGATGTTCATTGTAATATGGGGTTATGTTGATCTCATGCCAAGTGTGGGATCTTTTTCTTGCCTACAAGTGGCGGCTTTTTCTGGCTGTTGTGATTTCCCCAGACCAGTGGCTTCTTTTTGTTTCCATAAATTCTGAGACAGCCATCATTCTAAGCATTACATTATCTATTACCTTGATTGGGAAGAGAATTGCATTTAACTGATTGCACATAATGAGACATCCTCCTGTCTAAGAAGCGAGAGAAGAGCAAGGGGGAGATGTCTGTTGATGGTCTGTATCCCCTGGCACTTTGAGTAACAGAGGAATATTCTGGCCTCACTCTTCTAAGAAGTCTACCCACACCCACCCCCGCATCATACATATGGTATCCGTTTCAACTGAGAAATAATAACCGAAATGCCATTATCAGTGTGGCCTTGTGCAATAGAAAACTAGGTCAGTCTTAGCCACAGCTTTAGAGAAAACCCCAAATTCATAGGTAATCCTCATTTAAATTTGCCATCTTCAAGTGAAAGAAACATCACCCTCCTTTTATAAAGCCTCATACTTATGTGGTGTGCACTGCTGTCCAGGCACCCTAATTCTGTATCCAGAGTCTCCTGTAGGAGATTATCCATTTTCTGCAGTCTTCTTTTTTTTTCTTTACTTCCCCTTATTAAAAATTCTTATTAAAAATTCTTATTAAAAATTCTTGTTTTCTCAGATTTTATTGTCTTCTCCCAACTAGACTGAAAGCTCTAAGGGACATTATCTGCTTTGTTCACAGACAGAGCCCATGCACCTTGAATATCCATGAACTGGCATAAATGGGGTGAAAGAATAAACACCCCTCTTTAGTACGTCAGTAACTACTAGAGACGCAACTCCTAGAGGCTGCAGAGGCAGATACGGCCGAGAGAAGTGTTATCTTTGTTCTCTAGAGTATTTGAACCATTTTATCTTTTTGAAAGATTTATTTATTTATTTGTGTATACAGAACTGGAGTACAGGCCAGAGGTACAGGGGTGGTGAGAGGATTCACCAGAGACAGAGTGGAAAGCAAAACAGGTTGACTGGTGAGGTACACTGTTGAGGGGAACAGCGGGCGAGTCAGCAGAGGTCTGTCAGGCCATGTGGATCATCTCCAGGGCGGGGATCGAACTAATGCTAAAGTGACTTTAGCTTCTTAGTGCTGTGCTTTAACCCGCTGCACAACCAGGGAGGACCTGAACTTTTTTTTTAATTGGGAATTTTCATTTAAAACCCCTAACTTCAAAAAAGCAGAAGATCTGATAACAGTGGCCAGACTGTTCTGTTAGCTGGGCTTGGCCTTCCCATCTCTCATCCACTCCCTGTTGTCTTCCCTAACCTGAGGCTGTCATTTCTGTATTATGAAACTAGCCTAGGGTTGTAGATTGCTACAATTCATCTACTTGTCCTACAATTCCCTTTTTTGTTGATAAGATCAGAAGGTGAGTTTGTAACTCCACACTTTAAGCATTTCTCTTCCAGTAAACAGTGTATTTGTGTTTTGGGTATTTTAAAGGCGAAAGATACAATGACATAGTTGGAAACTTCACTCACTGTGGCAGGAAAAATGTTTTTTAAGTTGGGAGATCTTCCAGGCCACACCATAGAGGTGACTGCCTTTTCTATCTTGCTTAGGGAAAATAAAGATCCCTAGATTCTTCTCATTTTCCTGAAGGTTGTTTTCCCCTTGAGCTTCAGAGGGTCTGACTGTGTATTTTCTCTTAATAACACCTCTTTCTGTATCTGGATGTTGTTTCTTTGCAAATAACCATATTCTTAGAGCTGTTGCAAAATCTTATCTAATGCTTAGTTCAGTTTGGATAGGGTATTTATTGTCACTTAATTTATACGCAGTGGTGACTTGACCACACTCTACCTAGCACAGCATGGAAGTAGCCAGTTAGAAGCCATGTTGTGATGGAGATCTGCAAAGGTGCTCCAGGGAGATCGCTCAGGCCTCAAAGGAATTTTTCCTCTTGTTTGGCCATGCACATAATTAAGGATCGCTGGATATGACGAGCAAGCCACTAGTTTGTTTCACATTTTAAGGAACTTGGCAGCCTATGAGAGACATAGTTCACTTCTCTGTATCTGATTGGCTACGAACCAGACTATAATCACAGATATTCCCGCCAAGAGGAGGGGTGTGGGTGATGTCCTACAAAAGATGACCATAACTATGAGTCTACCCATGTAGTTATCAAAGCCAAATTATCTTAATATTAAAACATTCTATTAGTTGACAATTATTGGACTTTGAGATAATAGTATACAACTTTACCGTGACATGCTTCTTTGGCCTGTGTATATTTTAAATATAATTTTTGCTTTAGAAAACCTAGTATTTTTCTTTCTAAGCAATCTTTATCCAATCTATGTCTTTTCAGCTAAAACAATATCTGGATAATTGTCCATATTTAAGAAGGCATAGAAAAGCAAAAGCTAGATGCACTTGCTGCTCTCCTAGAGTTTAGATTCAGTCGTGGTATAATAAACAAATGAGGAAGCATATAGCCTGTCAAGTAGAGAGACATCATGGGTTTAAAAAAAAAAAAGCAGAAAAAAAAAGGCAAGGAAGTAAAAGGAAATGTGGGAGGCAAAATGATCTTTTAGACAGTGAAGTCAGAGAAAGTGACACCGTACAGATGTGAGTACAGTGTCCAGGGAGGAGGATCAGCCAGCATGGAGATCCCAGTGCCTGTGCTCGGTCACTCCAGCACCAATGAGGGTGAGGGTGGCAGACAGGCTGGAGAGTGTGGGAAAGAGGAGCCAGGGAGCAGACTTGCAGCATCTCTTGGGACATTGCGAAGACTTGGGGGGTTATGTCAAGGCTGATGGCTAGCCGCTGGAATGTTTTGAGCAGGGAAGTAACTTGATAAAGTCTACATTTGAAATTAGTGATGACACTAATAATGTTGAGGTACTGATACCATCTTATATTTTACTGATCATATATTATGTACTAGGCACTTTTACATGTAGTATCTTACTTCATTTTTAGAACAACTACTTGGTAGAGGCTGTTCCCAAAGGAAAGATGAGGCAATAGCTAAGCAGTTGATTATGAGTAGCTTGCCCACAGTCTCACACGTAGGGAGTGGCAAGGTTTAGCTTAATAAAGTGGTGCTATTTTAAAACTCTTTACTGCCTTTAGTGAAGTGTCACACTATAGGCCTTTATTTATTTATGCACACAAGAACTGGTGTACAGGCCAGAGGTGCAAGGTGTGAGAGAATTCACCAGAGAGCAGAGCAGAGCAGAACAGAACAGAACAGGCAGATTAATAAAGTACACTGCTGAGGGCTGACCAGGAGAAATCTGTTGCACCATGGGATCATCTCCAGGGTGGGGATCAAACTGGTGGACTGTGGCTGCAGATGGCTTCATAGTGCTGTGCTTTAACCTGTTGCACCACCAAGGAGAGTCCAGAATTTGGGTTCTTAAATCACTGCCCTTGATTCCCTTAGTAATTTAAATATTTTTTTCAATGCATTGAAAAGTATTCTAACAAAGGAGACCAGAGGGTTCCCCAGACCTCTAAAAGGGACATGGGTGTAGAGACAGTGTGTACAGGGATTCTGATGAATTTATTTAAAACTGAGCAGAACTGCTACAAATAGTACCAGATTTATTCTATTTTAGGAAGAGAGAGAAATGTACTGAGCACATGCCACAGCTCACAAAGAGGCCAGCTTTAGCCAGGGAGTCCACAGGTATCAGTGGGCCCAGGATTGTTGCAAGTTTGTCTTGTCCAGGTATAATTAGTATCACTCCCTTTCTATCTCAAAAGTGCCCCAGGGAGAAGTACGAATTACATGGTCACCATTATTTATAGTTTCTGTCAAGAAAGTGGTGGTCAATGGGATGATGTGAGGGCTATGATCAGATGCCAACCCCTGAGTTCAGGCCAATTTTGATAACAAATGAGTGTAATCAGAGTGAGAAGAGTATACAACAGAGATGACAGAAGAAAATACTGCCTTAACTAAAATTCTGTTTCTTTAACAGCCCAAAAAGAACATAAGATGGAAGAAAGTCACTTGGAGAATGCCCAGAAAAGGTAAGCAGCTCTCACTTGGCTCAATTCTCCCATTGATACTCACCATTTTTTGAATGTTGTTATTATTAAGTACATTCACATTGCTGTGTAATCATCACCATCATCCATCTTCAGAAATTTTCATCTTCTCCACATGAAACTAAACCATTAAACCATAACTATCCTCCTTCATCCAGGCCCTTACCACTGCCTCTCTCCTTTCGCTGTGACTTTGAATAAAGCAGGAACCTCACAGACATAGAATCATACATAAAATCTGACCAGCCATCCTTTTGGCCTTATTTGTTCTAACTGCGCACTCAGGAGCAATGAGATTCTATCAGGAACTGAAGTGAAAGCACTGAAACAGGATGTAGGAATATTTTCCCCAACAAGTGAGAATCATCCAGAAGTCACTTTGGTGCCTCATACATATCCTGACACTGCTTCCATCTGTTGGCTTTCCTCCATTCCTCTGCTCCTGAACCACTTCACAGAAGTTGGAAACTTAAGAGCCTTCATAGCATTTCAGCTAGATTAAACCAATTATCACAAATATCTTTGTGATAGGACCTTTTCAGCTTCTAGAAGATATGATAAGCAAGGAACAAGTGGGGAGGATGAACTGACAGACTTCTACATGTGTACAATTCTTTCAGAAGTTGGAAGAGATGTCAGAGGTCTTCTCTTCAACTTCTCACCCTCTTCAGACCCCATCTTTGCTCTTTTCTCAAAATAAGTAGACCCCAGAGTGGAACCATCCACCATGCCCTGTGGAGCCCAGTCATCATGGGTTGTGGTCCATTAGAGAGTTTTTCTTTCTGTCAATTGACCAGGTTAGTCAGCTTGGCCACCCCTCCTCCTTAGAAGGGACTATACTTACGAGCTTGCCTCCTCTTCAGGGCAGGGAACTGAAATGAATTTTGCTGGTACCATTTCTAAGAGTCCTGGAAACAGCAGAGAAGGAAAAATGAGCCATAGACTAAATGTGTGAGGAGAGGAGTTTCCTACCTATACATTTAAAAGCATATGAACAAACTCTAGACACCCACATTTCCTTTCATATACCCACAAGGTCCCAGATTTCTGAAAGTCTGGAGCCGATGCCTCTATTCTGCCCTGACAGGCACCAGCACCTTCTCCTATGTCCTACTGTAGTTGTCAATAAAATTAAAATCCAGATGAAAGTAAGGTTTGGGCAAATCTCACGTTTCCTAAACACAGGCGTGTTCTTGAATCTTGATTATCATCCTCACATGATCATCTTGGCAATTACATGGCTATGCTTTTAGTTTGTGTCCCTTTATGGGCCTTACCCCTAAATTAAGTGACTCTTCCTCAGTGTGTAAACTCATTGTGTCTTTGTTGTAGAATAGTCAGGTTGTAGGAAAGAGCCCGTCAACAAGGACATATGGGTGTTGGACCAAACAGAAAGGCAGTTTCCAGGGTGGCTGACAAATTTCAAATACTACTTCAAAATTCTTGCTCAAGGAAAGGGGCCCACCTTAGAGAGGCCGAAGCTGCTGCTGTGCATTAGCTATGCCGAGGGGGGTCATAAATTTTGGTTGTCAGCGTTTTCCGTGACTTTGTGGTGAAGGTAGTCTAGCTTTCATGTCATACATGAAATATGTTCGATCCCATCTTTAATGTAGAAACCACAGTTGTTTAGTTACACTCTTTAAGGAGGTTGGTGGTCAGTGTTGCAATATTTGTGTGAGATTTAGTAAATTCTTATGTTTTATTCTCAAGAGGAATAATTTACTCTGAGGCTAAGGAATATTTGCTTTTCCTAAGCAGTTTCTGAAGGCATGCATATAAAACAATAAGTGGATGTGTTCCGCTTTGGCATCTCAACACTCTAAAAGTAAAACAGTGCACTTTGCTATGGGCTCTTTGATATAATCATTGTCTGTACTTTAAAAATGTTTAGTTGAATTAAAAAGATACAGATCAGACAAGGAATTATAGCAGAAGAAAAGGAGTCAGGGACTAGGTTAGAGTAAAATTTTAAAAGAGCTTCATGAGACAAAACATTAGAAATCAGTCTTTTGAAAGTTGAGGCTATTTTAGTTATCTGCTGACAAATAGAAATTTCAAAAAGCATGATTGCTCTCTGTCTATCGGATAAGATTCTCCTCGTCTCTAAGTAATGGAAGTTTCCAGGCCTGAATTTCAGAAAGTTTTCACAGATCAATCATCTATGAATCAAAATTGAATTTGAAGAGAGTTTTGTTTGGAAAGAACAATAGTCTAGACTGTATCAGATATTTGTGGGCTCATCGTTTAGCTTTCAGTTTTTCCTTGAACAAAGGGGTGACATGGACATTAAATAGGCCACATCCTCAGAGTAGCTTCATCTTTGTCACAGCTGCGGAGCGCAAAGCTGTCGTCCTCCTGGGCTCTGGAGGCTTTGGCTTTTCCAAAGAGGTTCACCTGTTTTCTGAGGCTCCAAAACATGTAGTGAAAAAAACTGAAATTCATCATTTCCTTTATTTGCCCACCCCCTTTGAGGCTTCACCAGTGGGTCTCACAAATTGCCTGGGGATAGATGTATCCAGAGAACACAGCTGACTTGCGACCAGTGAGGCCTGCAGGATGGAGACACAACTTTCTCAAGAGCTGTAATAACTCACCAAATAACACTTGCTCGCTGAAGCTGCAATATCTTGACCTCACTGCCTACATTTCAGATAACACCAGAGGTGTTGGGATGATCCTTGAAGTACAACTGGTGTTTCTGCTCTATCCGATAGAAAAATGGAAGACAATGTGTTATTTCAAATATTGTCTCCATTAATGCACAAATGAATATTTTCTGCATTGAGGGTGATTATAGGAAAAGAGGAAAATCAATGATGTGTTCTGCTGGAGGTAAGGCATGCTAAGAAGGAGACAGTGTCAAAAGTAGAAACAAAAAGTGACTTTTATTTCCTAAGTGCCTTGTTAGAGAGCCTGGGCATCAGAAGGGCAGAAAAAGGCATCACTGAGAATTGAGGCATCCAGGTTGTAGCCCCAATTCCACCAAAGAATAAGGTCACTAAGGCTTTCCGGGTTCTGTGTTCTCATCTGTCCAATGAGAGAATTGGGTGAATTAATCTGTAAATTCCTTCTAATTCTAAATCCCCTTAATACTGTAAGAAATTTATAGTCTGTTCTTATAAGTGACATATCTACTTCCGTATTACCTGACTACAATCAATATAATTTTAATTTTGAATAAAATAAATACATACGTACCATAATGTATATTATAGGACATAATATACATTTGGATTTATCTGTATTTTTGATTGCCACAGAACTAGGAGTCATGTCTGAGGAGCAAATGGACATGGTTGGGTAAAGTAAATGTGGTACATATACTCAGTGGAATACTATTCAGCTTTTTTTTTTTTTTAAAGAGAAAGCTTGCCATTTGCAACAACGTGGATGGAACTATAAAGGACTACATCAAGTGAAATAAGTCAGAAGTAGAAAAATGAATGCCAGGTGACACTTCATATGCGGAATATAAGGAAACTAAGCAAAGGAACAGACACAGCTAAACCAAAATAAACCCTTGATTGCAGAATTAAGGCTACTAGAGGGAAAAGATAGGGTGGAGAGTCAAGGAGGAAGGGGACCCAATGGTGTATAGTAGGGGTGGCTGTGGTATAGTGACACAAATCTAAAAATGGTGTGAACCTGTACCCCTAAATCATTTAGAGTATTGTCAACCAACGGTACCTCAATGAAGATTGATACAATTTTTTTGTAAAGGAAAAGAAAATAGATATTGCTTACCCACCCCACCCCCTTACTGGTTTGCTCCAAAATATGTATGTTTGGAATTATAAGAGAGTCCCTTAAGAAAGTACTGCAGTTATTGCCTTTCTCCACTTATGCACTTTCAGTCTTTTAATAACTGGGAGCCAAAATTCCCTAACCAGTAGTTTTAATTTGCATTAAAAACAGATTTATTATTTACAGAAGCACAAAGAATTTATGGGACTGAGAGCTGCAGCTCCAGCTTGGATCTCGCCTAATCATAGCCATGGAATCAATTAACAGTTCATCTGTGAAATGTGATAAAATCTTATGAGATACATATTGCCCAATAACTGAGAACGAGATGAAAGTGTGCTCCGTAATAGTAATGGGACTTCAGGGTTTTACAATCGCTGTTGAATAGAGTTCCATTAGGAACTCAGTATTCAGGATGGTCACAAAAACTCGCTGTGTCTGAACAGATGATAGCATTGAGTAATAAACCTGGCCAGCCATTCCTGCTTTGATTAGTTTCCAACACCCTAGAAAGGGGGACCACTTATTTATGTGTTCTTGTTCATGGCAAATGAGCTTGTGAGAGTTGAGGTGGGTAGAGGTGGAGGGGTGGGGAGATTGAATGCAGAGCTATAAATTGCTGCAAAGCTAGTGCCTCCGAGAAGGACTGCTTGGGAGGCCCTGGGAACCTGGAGTACTTGGGGGCCTCCTTGGGGTTGGTCAGGAGTTCTCAGTAATATCTAGGGATCTTCTTTGGAAAAAACCTGGGTGGTTTTCTGACCAAACTGGTGATCCTATTTCAAGATCAGAGATGGTGTTTCATCCAAACCTTTCAGTGCCCTCAATTATATCTATTTTTGTCCATTGGTGGTTTGTATTCTTGTATCATGTAGTCTAAGTCTTTTATTTTACTCTTGAGAAAATAGGGAGTCCATGCTGAGTGGTTGAACCAAGATTGCAAAGTCAGTGGATGCCAGAATAAGCCTAGAAGAGTCTCTTTAATTTCCACGAAACAGATGGGATCAACAGTTCACATGCAGCAGATCCCGATGGGGTGTCTAACTGACAGTGCTGCAGAATCACATCATCAGCATTCCCTGTGACTATGATACAAAAGCAAGTTAATGATAGGATTTGAGGTGAAGAACAAGTCCAAACAGAGTTACCTCCACCTTTCACCCCTAGAATTAATTATACATGCTGGTTGTAGATAGATTAGCTGTATCCAGGAGTATCTCCAATCAAGTTGAATTTCTTGAGATGGGTTTCAGCAAAGAGATTATCTGAGGCTCAGGTTAAACCACTGACTTCTGAACCTGGGCTTCTCAAACTGGCCCTACGACCCTTCTCCTTTCCTTGATGGGCTTTGGTGTTGACAGTTGCCTCACCTTCTATTCAACTTTTTCCCTCTACCTTTTACAGCTTTGAAACAACGGTAGGCTATTTTGGGATGAAGCCAAAGTCTGGTGAGAAGGAGATCACACCGAACTACGTGTTTATGGTGTGGTACGAGTTCTGCAGTGACTTCAAGACGATTTGGAAACGGGAAAGTAAAAGTATATCTAAAGAAAGGTAAGCTTCTGCTAGAGCCCATAAATCCCCCTGCAGGCGTCTAGGAAATGCCTTCTCAAACCTCACAAGTGTGCCCATTTTCCGCATGTCAGTGTTTCTTGCAGATGGAGTGGACCTCAAGGAAGGATATTTGCCTAGGGGGCCAAGGGGAGACGCTGGGGGAGGCCTGCTGTCCACACAAGCAGATACACTCACGTGATTTGATAAGTTACACTTTCTTAACCCCTTCCAATTACTAGCTAGTAAATGAAAGGGGAGCTGTGCTAATTTGCAACAGATTGCTTCTCTGTGTGTTTTCATGTTGGCCCAGGCTAAATGAGGCCGCCTTGCTGCCGCAGACAGTACAGACAAATAAAAGTGAATGCTTTTCCCATTAATATACTGAACTTGCATCAAAGGGAAATCTCTACGACTCGGGCCACACTTAACACAGTGTTGAAGCCCCGCTCTGGATTTACAGCGCCACTTCTGACTCCCCGTATCCTGCTGAGGACATCAAACTGCTTGCCGCTAGGCCTCATTGCAGCCTCCTGATTTTATTAGTTGGGGGTAGAGGAAAACTCTGGCCTTGGAATGGGGAGGGGAGAGATCGTTCTCTTTAGAGAGAGAGAGAGACTGAATTTGGCTCTGTTTATCAGAAAGAAAAAAAAATGCTCTGTCGCTGTTTTGATCAGGTTGCCACTGTCTACACAGTGTGTCACAGGTTTCGACTTCAAGCAGGTCTTGCCACTTCTGTGCAGAGCAGATGTTGAAGAGCATCATTCAAAGTGGACTAGAAGGAGACAGACAGTTCTACAAATTAAGAGAAATGATGTATTTAACTTCTCTATTTTACTAAACATTGAGATCTGAAATTCTTTAATTCAGTGTTTTCACCCTTTACTTTGTAATAAAAGATAGATAGATACGTAATATATTGACATGCACACCTATTCCAAGAAGCCTCCCCTTAAAAACTTATAATCAAAGGCATTAGAGATGTGCATCCCAATATTCCCCAGTCTCTAAATATTTTCTCAGGGAAATTTTTTCCCCAGATCCTGCTTTCTTTCTAAGAAAATCTTTGAAAATAGTGTATTAGCACATCTTTCCACCGTTGTCTTTTCAGGTGGGAGGGTATTGAGGTGGGTCTATCCATTTTATATCTATACCGAAGCTGGGAAATACTAAGTAACATCAGTAAGAAAATAGGTTGCTGATAATGACGTGAAAAATTCCTTGACACCCAGTTGTTGCTCTTGCCAAGCAATTGCTTAGATAGACCTTGAAGCAAAATTAAGCGTTTTGCAATCCATTCTGTGTTTCATAAGCCTCTTAAAAAAGTAAGAGAGCGGGCTCCTGTCCCTCTGACTGGGCAGCAGCTGCCCTCTCGGCCCTCCTCGGCCCTTCCCATCCACACCCGACAGGACACATGCAGAGGGGGTCATGCCTGCCCACCTTTCGCTTCAGGTTTTGCACCTCAGGTTTTAAGCAGAGTCCTTGGTGAATTTGTCCTTGTGGTTGAAGCCTGAAGAAACACCTCCCCCCACACACACACACCCACCTCAAAACCAGCAGAGAGAATAATTAATCACTTTTTTCTTGAATCATTTCCTCTTGCAATACTGAGCTATATTCCAAATTCATATTTCCTCTGTCCCGGAAGTTAGACCAAACGGGCTGCAACTCTGTGACGGTGATGTATCCAGCCTCCCTCAGAATGACTGTCTCCTATGATTCTTAGCCATAGACACTTAAAGAGTTGCTTCCTGGGTGCAGCTGGTGAATTGCCGGCTTCACACTCTGTAAACCAACACCTTCCTGGGGTCAGGACTTCACAGGCTCCTTTTAGTTCTCCTTGTTCAGCAACCTCAGGGGTCTCTTCATTCCAGCCGTTCTTTGCGAGATGGATCACCAAGGTTTCCAACCTAAAACAACATCCCTGAATGTTAATGACGGCTAATAAAATATTTTTGGAAGCAGTTTGTTTACAAAAATCACTTTGTTAAGATGTGATGGCACATTATGTTTATGACTGCTCATCCAGTTAAGCAGACTGATTAATACCCAGGGTTTTCTTGTGAAGTAGGGGTTTTTTAAATTGTCTTCGATCTGCTAAGACTTTTAGCTTTTGAACCATTGGAATCACACATTTGTTATAAGAGAGCAAATTAGCTTACTTTGTTTTATTACAATTCAATGAGAAATAGGATTGCTTTATTCTGACATCTATTTGGTGATGTTTGATATTGTCATTTTTTATTATACTTAGAAATACAATAAAACCCAACAACATGGAATGTCAGAAAATTATACACAATATAATATACAATATAGTTCACAACACAAAGACAGTATAATTCCCAACAACAACAACAAAAAATTCTGATAGCTTGTAATAGCGGAGAAAGCTATAGTTTCGGACCCCACCCAAAGAAATTTCACCCACTTGGCTTTTAAATATATTTGAAGGTCAGCTAAAACCTCAACAGTCATGGTAGAAAATTCAAGCTCAGTAATAGTATTTTCATAGGTATAGATTCACTTCCAAACAAAGTGGTAAAAACTATTTTAGGTCCCTTGAAGTCAGTTTAAGGTGGTAGGGAATATTTGCTTCTTGTTCTGCTTAGTGTAATTTCCTTGAATATGCATTTACTTGATGCAGATTGTCTTGGGTATAACTTTGCGACAAGGAACCCAGAGCAATCTCTTTATCTCTTCCAGGATAAAGTTCTGTATGAAGTTCTACTTCTGTGTTCCTCGTGTGCAAGTGATAGCCTCTATCATTAAGTTGGTGTTGGGGTACAGTTCCACATTTGAGTAGAAGAGATCTAGTATTTCACTGGAGATATGGTTGACCTGCAGATTAACTGCCAGTAGAAGAGCAAGCTACTCTAGGGTGGTAAATTAATGGCATTAAACATTCTTGGCACTTAAGCCATTATAAGGCAAAATAGCAAAATTACATGTCCAGGTACAAAAGTCCTGTCCCTCGCCCTTTCCTCTGTTCCCCCACTTTTCCTCAGTCTTCATACAGCCCTTGGTACTAGAACTCATCTTCCAGTAAAAGGTACCAGGTCTACTCTTAGCCCCTTCTGAATACATTTAGTATCCAGTAGTGATGAAAAGTCCTGTAGGTAGAGTTAAAACTAGCATTTTAACTCCATTAATGTGCTGTATGATTGTTGCCTGGGGGACTTCAATTGTCCCATCTGAACAATGTGTATTTGGTATTAACAGGCACTCAATGTTCACCATGACCTGATTTGAAAATCTCTATGAATCTAGAAGCTACCTTTTTTAAGATTCTGAGAAACTGTGTTTCATGTCTGACATAATTCTCCTCACCTTTGCTCTTCAACTCCTTAGAGACTCTTTTAGGAGACATGTCAAGCCAAGAACTGACGGTGAATGGGGGAAAGTATTGGGGACAGGGAAAAGTCTCAGTGCCCTTATGGACTTGGCCCTAGACTTCCAGTTCTTTTTTTTTAAAGATTTATTTATTTATGCATACACAACCGGGGTACAGGCCAGAGGTACAGGGGCGGTGAGAGGATTCACCAGAGACAGAGTGGGGAGCAGCAAAACAGGCAGATCCACAAAGCACACTCTGAGGGGAGCAGTGGGTGGGTCAGGAGAGGTCTGCCGCGCTATGTGGTCATCTCTAGGGTGGGATCGAACAAGCACTGAAGGGGCTGTGGCCAGCTTGCAGTGCTGTGTCCTAACCCGTTGCACCACTAGGGAGGGCCCAGACTTCCAGTTCTTTCCCCAGAATTCTAATTTTGGCTCTGAAGATCACAATTTTTTTTTCTTACATTATTGTTTATTTTTGCACAATACTTGATTTCTCTCCTCAGGTGTAATCCCTATAAATCTCCCACCACCACATCACCTGTGAACCATCACCATAGTCCCTTGTGTTCTTCCCTCCTGTTTTGATCCCTCTCCTTCCCCCTCTCCTGCTGTATGTCAAATCTATAATTTGCCTGCTAGTTTTGTCTTTTCTTTTGTTCGGACCCTTTGTTTTGTTTCCTTCTATTCCTCCTGTGAGTGAAGCCATGCAATATTTTTCTTTTTCCTTTTGACTTATTTCACTGAGCATGAGCCCTTCCAACTCCATCCATGTTCTACAAATGGCACTAGTTTATATTTTTTGATTGCTGAGTAGTATTCCATTGTGTGTATATGCCATGTAACAGGAGTTTTTTAACTAAACATGTACACACACACACATATATTTTCTGCTGCTCCTCTACACCCAGCATTGCAGTTAGTGGCTTATTATGGATCATCAAGATTTTTATTCTAAGAGGCAGTTTTACCTCAGTTTTACCTTTTGTATTTATTCCTTTTGGCATCAAAATATTGAAGGAAGCTTATACCACACAGGCAATGAACACAATGTGTGTTACAAGATTCCTATTAAATCGATATTTCCTATTAAATCAATAGGCAATCTAAGTATGATACTAATTGCAAGAAAGCAACCTGGTTTTTGCTGCTATTTTGTTGACTATTCTTTCCTTATTTTCTGCATTTTCTTTCCTTTTGTTAATGGGTGCACCATTGGTTTACAATACTATATATAAGTTTCAGCCTATAGCTTCACACCTCAACAGGTGTTTAGCCCACACCACTGCCACAACCAAAGTTCTACCATAACCCACCACTATCCAACTGACCCCCTTACTCATTCCTCCCACCCCCATCACTTCCCCTCTTCTTACCACCATCTTGTTGATAAAGACTAAGGGCTTGATTTTGTTTTACTTATCTTCTTTGCTTCTTTATATTGTACACATTAATAAAATAATCCTTTATTTGTCTTTCACCTTCTGATTTATTTCACATAGTGTAATATGTCAAGTGCTATCTGTGTTGTTGCAAAGGGCGAGATTTCAGTTCTTTTTATAGCTAGGTAATAATCCATTCTCTCTATATACCACATTTTCTGCGTTCAGTTACCTATCAGTGCAACCTTAGGTTCTTTTTGTGTCTTGGCTGCTGTGAACAGTGCTTTG